GTGGTCACAACAAAGTATGGGAAGCTGGACAGTTGGAGCACAAAGCAAAGCAGAGCTCCACATAGAGTGGGGCAATGGAAACATATTAACAATCTAAAAAAGGAATTATTTCAAGAGGTGTCATTCAAAGTTAGGGATGGCAGCTCTGTCAAATTCTCGAAGGATAGGTGGCTCCCAAATCAACCTCTAAAAGACTCACACCCTGGCATATATCAGATGGCTATTGAACCTAACTCAACAATAGCCCAGAAGAGAGCAGGGAGCATATGGGAACCTCATTGCTGGAGAAACATGCAGGACTGGGAACTTGATGAAATCTTTGACCTATACAAAATTCTTGAAGGCTTCACAATAAACCCCCAAATCTCAGATAGCCTAAAGTGGGTAATTTTTACAAGGTACATATACAGTGAAGGGAGGATATAATAAATTGTGTGCATCAAATGGAATGATTGAGAATTGGCCATGAAAGCATATATGGAGGTCAAAATTACCTACAAAAGTAATGTGCTTCTCTTGGACTGTCCTTAGAGATGCTATCTTGACCCAGGACAACTTATGCAGAAGAAACTTTCAGCTAGTAAATAGATGTTACATGTGCCACAACAACTAGGAATTAGTAAATCATCTTCTTTTGCACTGTCCAGTGGCAACAGATATATGGAATATGCTTTAGCATTTTTCGGTATCAGTTGGTTTACTCCTAAGAATATTAAGGAAGCTATTTCTGGTGCTCGTGGAAAGTTGGCAAAACCATTGAGAAGATCTAGCAAATGATCCCAACATGTATTTTTTGGTGTATTTGACAGAGAGGAACACCAGATGTTTTGATTGCATTTCAATTTCCAATAGCCTACTGAAATCTAAGTGTCTGATGAACGTGTTTAGTTGGAATTACCTTTCCCCTGTAAACGATGTTATTCCCCTCTCAGATTTCATTAGCTCTCTTTCTATGGCTTAATAGTCATATTTTTGGTTTTTGGTTAACTCCCAACTATATAGGTTTTTTTGTGTTTAGAGTTAACCAAGGCTTTTCAATTTGTACTTTTTCTGCATCTTCTTGATGCCTTTAATACAACACGTTACTTCATAAAAAAGAATTGCATGTCCATTTGGAATGAATTGTTTCTATTCCAATAGTCTTGTAGGAACCTTGTCTGATGCACCAACTCGCAACCTGATATGGGGGAAAGATAAGAGGAAGAGACAATCAAAGATAAGGGGATTCCTACAGTGTTCTAGGTGTTACTTATGTGGGGAGCAGGCAGAGACAATCAACCATCTTTTTTTGCATTGCAAATACACTATCTAGATATGGAGGATCTTCATTAGTTTAAGGGGAGTTCCATGGGCAATGCTGGGTAGAGTCCTTGATATTCTAGCTAGCTGGAATAAAGAGGGAACAATCTCGAGAGACAAAGAGAGATGGAGAATTGTCCCAGCTTGTATATGGTGGTGGGAAGAGAGAAATCAAAGATGCTTTGAAGGAAAATTCAACAATATTCAGAAGATAAAGATGAAATGTGTAGCTCTTTTTTATTTTTGGTGTAAAGGAAAGCTTTTGGAGGATCATGAATCCATTTTAGATGCCTTAGATTTAGTTTAAGAAGATATTGGGTGTACAGTGTCCTTTTTTTGTTTATTTTGTATGGACACTCACAGTGTAACTATGGGTGACTTCACAATTTCAGTGAAGTCTTTATATTAATATACAATTGTTACCTTCTCAAAAAAAAAAAAAAAGATAAGAGGAAGAGAGATAAATGCATTAAGCATTTCGTGTGTCAAAACAAAGTACACTGTGACCTACTTATAAAGTAGAGAACCCTGAACAAGCTAGATTTAGAACTTCATTTCTATGAAAAGATAAGGATAATATTTAATATTCTCTTGGAAACCTGTGCTTATGGGCAGGATTACTTTGACAACTTATGTTTTTTTTTTTT